CTTCGTCCTCGTCGTCGGCGCGATACTTTCTCCTCCAGACCCGGCGGCTTGTCGATCGCCCCTGGCGGCTCATGGAGCGGTCCGAAGCTACAAATGTGCATTGCGTTCCTTCGCCATGGCCAAATTCATATTGAATGCGCCCAGACAGATCGCTAACGTCTCGCGGGCCCCCCCGCAAAAGGCCATCATCACTCAATTCCATGTTTGTCGGATTCCCAATGACCCGAGGATAAAGCATCAACTGTATTTCCTCTCCTGTCGCAGGAACGGTGGCTCCTGACTCCGCGGGTGCCCGCGCCATTTCGGCATCTCCTTCGGCGGGCGCATGAAAGTTCTCGACAAACTCAATCTCTGCATTTTGCCCCGCGATGGGCATGCCCAGCCAGTCTGCCAGATCAATGCCATTGTGGCCAGTGAATATGCTCAAACAGCTCGTCGGCGCAATTCTCGAGGGACATGCTGGCACTCAAATATCTGGCAGCCATGAAATTGACAACTGCAATCGAGCTATCAGCAGGGTCGGCTAAAAGCGACCCCCAGTCAACATACTGTACATCTGAATCAGTTTGAGCCAAATGCATCGACGGACCTCTGCCTCTCCCATCGCCCCGAGGGCATTTGCGGCGAGCGTGCCGCGTGCTATGGCATACGTCACACCCCATAATTTTCCCATTGGCATCCTTCGGGTTCCCCCGACGTCCCTTACATTCTTTCCTGATGTGTGCCTGCGATTCCTGCCTGCACCCAAACATATATCTTCATACTGTGGCCCGGTAAGATGCTAGGAATGCTCATATGCCTCTACCATGCAATCACCGACGCTTAACTTTTGCTCTTACCTCGACCCCTGCCGTTCCCCTCGAATGCTCGTCGTACGATACGCCGGACCTTGCGGACGGGCTTCTTCATGGGTCGCCTCCATCTGCGCTTATGTTTCTGGTGTCCTAAGAATAACCATTGCGCTTGTTGCTCTTCCGTGAGGTATGTAGGCATATCGGAGTAGTCAAGGGCCGTGGCCTCGTGGCCCGAAGACTCATCGGCGTCAGTACCGGAGTCGAAGTCCGACTCGGCAGGTTGCCCCGCTGAGCCCATCAGGGTCGCGGCCTGTGCGGGGGATGCCGCATCGGGCGGCCCCCGAAACCTGGCCCGGGAGTCTTGCGACCCCGAGGCCGATCCACCGCTCTGTGCCAGTAGTGTAGTGGTCTCAGTTGGTTGTGGATCGTCATTCCAGACCTTAGTTGCAGGTTGCCCTGCGTTTGCCTCAGCGCGGAAGGTCTCGGTTCGGTGACCGTGACTGAAAATACCACCAATCTTGCCAGGGGTTATCTCAGCAATGTGCGCATATGACCTCATGCGTTCAAGCGGGGCGTCAAACTGCTGCTGGTCTCGGCATGTGATGGTTTAGTGGCTGCAGGAGTTGCGGTGCACGCGAGGTCCCCACTCCAAGAGCTCTGAATAAAGTAATTTCTAAGATTTGGAAGTTGGGGATGTTCAAGCCTGCCGTTTCAGCTTCATAGCGGGCTATCTCGAAGCGTGCTAATGTCTGGTCGATTCGTTCTTCCGCATGGATTCGGCCGTCAATGAGAGAGCTGTACCAGAGTTGAGTTGGCGCTCCTCTTCTAAATCTCGAACTTCGTGCTTTAGGAGAACAAGATGCAGGTGACGCCGTCGGTATGGCGGCCACCTATGTTAACGCCAAAATTGATAACTGCTGGGGGAACTCTCATGGCTATGGTCCGCGCGAGACCTCCCAAACCTCGCTGCAGGGCTGCAGCTTGCTGGGAGGGCGTCATGTTGCCTGTGGTCACGTTGATCCAGGCATGTACCTCGCGGACGAATTCGCGGGAAGGTACCTGACGGGCTGGGTCCCAATGAGGGCCGGTCGTTTTTGCGTCGTCTCTCTCCACGCATATATCCTACCGCACACCCGATAGCGACCCAATGTGAACCCAAGAATAATAACACCAATCCAATGGCCTCGTAGGTCGTAGTCGGATGTAGTCGGCTGGGGCTTCCGATGTGTGGTCGTAAATCTGCGTGGGGGGTGGAGGCGGCACCGTATCGTATCGCATGTTTCCATGCATTATGTTTTCAACTTGGAGTAGGTGGGTGGACTTCAGGAGCGTAGTAGCGCAAGGATGTAGGGCGAAAGTAAGAGGCCTCCGCGCAAGCAGAGGTGTCACTGCAAGTGTCCTTGCTATACTGCGTAGTTATAGACATTCCTCCGCGCAAACCCACTGCACCCGGATGTTCCACCATGTCTGTAGTCCACCAGATAGCTCCGTGGATGGTGAGGAGTAGAGCAAGAACTGACCACCATAGGCCAGCTTCGCTACCAAGTTTGAATGGGGCTGAGAGACCCAACCAACAGCTTCGCCTCAGGCAAAGCCCAGCTCCCGCTCTGTTGTACCGTAGTAACGATAGTCCCAGTAGTAGGGGGCGAGCCATCTCAACCAGCATTTTGGCATCGATGGCAAATAATACACCTCGCGCTGAGGTGTAGTCAGATCTGGGCGGCCGGCCGCTTGAGCCACGCGGCCGCGGGCACACGCTCGCTTCCGCTCCCCACGTACCCCAGCTCACTTTAGAGTACGTCATGCCCAGCAAGGCCGATGTACCAAAAGGCCGTAGCGCAGAGGGCACCAGTGGTCGCGGCGCGCCTCTCTGGCGCCAGTCGACCAAGTTTTTTTTGGCGAAACGAACCGGTAATATCCTGCACACATCAACACACATACATCTGTATATAAGCGCACACAAATGGTTATATACATGTGTGCAAATACACGAGCGGATACAACACACATGCCTACATCAATCTCTCTCTCTCTCCATATATACACCGTGTGTGTGAGTTGTTGCCTGCGCGTGTAAATGTGTGAATGTGTGTGAGTGTGTTTGTGTTTTGCTTGTGCTTGTGTGTGTGTTTGCGTTTGTGATTGTGTGTATATGTGTGTGCGTGTGTCCGCCACCGTGCCCTGGGCACGTAGCGGAATGCCTCAAGGCTCTACAGTACTGCGTCGTACGAGGACTCTCGATTCGTGAGGTTCTGAGGGGTCTGGCCCCCCCTCTGCCAGAATCTCCTGGGGGCTCCTGGGGTGTGTCGGCGCGCGCCGGGCAAGCTTCAGGGACGTTAAACAAAGCCGACCGGGCCCCAAGAGCACCCAAGACAGTCCAAGAGGGCCCCGAGTCGCCCGAAGATCGCTCCAAGACGCCCAAGATGGTCTCGAGATGGCCCTGGGCCCCCAAGACGCCACAAAAGGGCCCCCAAAGGCCCCTCAAGAGGGCTCCGAGAAACCAAACGCATTGATTTCTCTTGGGTCGCTGCTGGACCTTAGCGTGCTCGCCTTTTCAGTTTTCCAGCGCTCCAAGACGGTCCCAGAGAGGCTCCCAAGAAGGCACTCAGACGGCCCACGAGGGCTCCCAGATGGCCCAAGAGGGTACCAAGACGACCCAAGGGGGCACCAAGAGAGAGAACTCCAACTGACATTTCGCACCCTCCGACCCAAGATTACCCCCGAGACCGCCAGCAGGCCCCAACGAGGCCCCTCAGAAGCCCGTGGAGCCCCCCAAGAAGCCTCCCAAAATAACAAAATGCCCTCGAGAAGCCCCCTTGACGGCCCCCAAGAGACCCCAAGACACCCCCAAAACCGCCTTCAGGAGGCTTCCTAAAAGATCCCTCTGGGCATTCAAGTGGCTTTTGACCTACAACCCAGGCACCGTGGCGGTGTGGGCGGAAGGCCATTACATGTATTGTACACGCAAGTTGCACCACACACGTTCCACTTCAGATACTGCACAAAACAGCTTGCACAGTACCACGCATGTTGCACAATAACCTTATATATATATATGTATGGCATCACCCTGTATCCCACATTTTGCGTGCATGTGGATAAAACAAAGACCATGGTGTTGGGCTCAGGTTGGCAAACACTCTTCTTGGAATAATTGCTGTTGGACGCTAGACCCGTCGCGCATGCATGACACCCATTGTGAAAGACATGCGCCACATCAGGAGGAGGGTGGAAGGGCGAATGCAATATGGAAAGTAAGAAGGCCTTCAGCGCGCAACTGCCAACCACGACTCCCCCCTTGAACAGAATCGACCCCATGACAGTGCTGGTGTCGTGCTGTGGCGCTCCGAGCGGTTCGCGAAACCGCGACATCCCTTTCATTTCTATGACCCTAGACGGTAAGCGAGCGCCTCTGCTGCTGCTTGCTGGCATTACTTTGCAGTGTGGTTGGAATTGCAGCGGCGAGGGCAGGGATCCTGACCACGACCGCAAAGATGATAACGCGAGGTGTGATGAGGGTGCCCTCATTGCTCTTCGCCATGGTGGTTGTTTCTCGCTCCCCCCACTGAACGCAAACAATGCGACCACTCTACGAGAGGGCCAGCGAACTCCACAGACAGGTTGGCGCCATGGGGCGAATGTCTCCACTGAGCACATTCATCGGGAGTTCAATGTGTGGGCAGACTCCCTGGCCAACGAGGCGTTGAAAACTGGATGGGGCTGCGCAGCCTCGTGGCGCCCCCCTGGCGACCGGCATCTTCATCTGAGAGAAGCTCCCGCCCCTCTGGTCCCTCCCCATTTCCGCCCTCCCTTGCCAGCACACGCGCGTGGTTGTCCACAGAACCGCAAGTATTTTGTCGGGTTTGAGGATTCCTGCAGGCGTGCGCCCCCGAACGCGCGGGGCGCAGATGACCCGAGAATGTATCATGTTAGTTACCTGTGATGACTTCGAAGGCCTGAGACTCAACGAGCACTGTCTGCACACCAGAACTGCTCAGGTAAGCGGTAACAAAACCAAGGCTGGCCGAGTCTATTGGTGGTGACAGGTAGTGCTGTGTTTGAGCTGCGCGCGAACATATCAACGGAACTCGAGCTGCCCCCGAGTCACCACCGCCCTCTCGGCCACCCCCGAACGATGCCCCGGCAGCGCCACGTGGCCCCAGCCGCACCCCGACTGCTTCCCGTGCGGGGCCCCGCCCTCCTCGCCTTGGGAGCGGCCATGGCTTCTGCGCCGCGGGCGCGCACCGCGGGTTCCCGGGGGGGGGGGGGGAGTGGCAAAACGGCTGAACATTGACGTGCCATCAGGCGCAACGGGAAAGCTAGACAGGATCAGTCAGACTTCAGCGTCGCTGCGGGAGATCGGATCGAAACGACATGTGCGTCGGATCAGGCTGCATCGGCAATCGGTAAGGAGTCGACATCGAATCGGATCGCCCGCGCTAGGACGCACAACAGCGCCATGCAAGCATCGGGCCGCATCGGATCGTCGGCACTCTCCTCCTCTCCTGCCTGGCATGCTGTATCTTGGCAGGGCTTGGCGCTGCCTCTGGTCTGGGCGAACGCGAAGGCCAGCCGGCAGGAGAAGCGCGGCGGGGCAAAATGGCATGGTAGGGGGTTCGCGCGCAAGGCCGGAAGCCGCCAATAACTGGCTCCAGCGTCATTTGCGAGCCTTCAGCCACAATGGCCTGGGCCACACAAATGGCTACGGACCCAAAGTGCGATTTCTCGGGGTGTGGCACGTGCCTCCCAGGGCCGTTCCCCAAGATTTTCTGGGTTTGTCGGATGACTTTTCCGAGGCTAGAGAGCCCCAAGACGGGCCAAGAGGTTTCCAAGATGCCTCCAAGAGGCCCCGAGATGGCCCAAGAGCGCCCCGAGACGGCCCAAGATCGACCCGAGAGGACCCCAAGAGGACCCCCAAAGAGGGCCCAGCAGCAGACATCGCAGATTTTCGCTCGTTCGGCCCAAGAAGCCCCGAGATAGCCCCAACACGGCCCAAGAGGCCCCAAAGCCCAGGAGGCCCCCCAGGCCCTGGGCTGCCCACGAGGCCTCCGGGCCCCAAAGGAGGGACAGCGAAGGGGCCTTCGGAGCCTTTCACCCCAAGGTGGCTCTCCAGACCCCCAACTTCCCCAAAGAGGCCCCAAAAGGTCCACAAGAGGCCCCAAAAGGCGCCCGCAAGGCCCTCAAGAGGCATCAAAAATACATCCCCGAGGCCCTCCAAAGGCCTCCCAGGAGTCCTCTACCCCTTCCAGCCCGTCGTCAAACGATTCTAACTCTCGTGCCTGAACCATCCTTTGAAATTAGGAGTGTGCCTAATGTAATCAACGAAGTCTGAACAATCTAACGCTACCCACCCTACATGTGCTACCTCGCCTCAATGTTATACCAATCAGGGATAACACACACGTTCTGCTGCTTCTTACTCCCTTGTCTCGTTCATGCACTCTGATTCATTCGATCTTTAGCGCAAAGGGGCAAGGGACATCTCACCCCACAGGGCGCGGGGCGAGAACCGATGCACAACGTGTCATTGCGCACGGGGGACAGCCAGGGAGACGATGCAACACCTGTCAACCCGATGTGCTTGCTCTACGAGTATGAAACTGTTCTGCATCCTACAACGAGCCATGAACCAATCGACCTTGCCTGTGTGCCCAGTTTCGTGCATGAGTATATGGCTCTGGATGGCATACTCCAATGCACCGCGTATACCTGTTGTATATTGAAGAGCACTGGTCCTATGAGTATGTCTTTGCGTGGCGTGTTATGATGCCTACGTTTGGCAAATATATTCCAAACACCTGGCAAAGAGTTGATCACTGTGGCCACGGAAGAACCACGAGACACCTGCGGGAACACTGAACGGGACACAACTACACATTACCAGCCTGAAAAGCATTCCGATTCCTATGATTGGCATCACCTGATCTCGGCGCCGATCTTAAGGAGCCCCGCAGTACCTGAGGACACACCTCTAAGCTTTTCATCGGCTTGCCGATCTTGGGGATGGGATAAGTTCGAGGATGGTAAGCAGAGGACAATCGGACAACAACGGGACACACGCAAGAGAATCCAAGAGGTTGAGGGGGCCTGCGGCGAGCATACGAGACGGGGGGCCGCGGCGGGCACGCGGGACAACTGTAGGACAATGGCGTGAGCTGCCCCTGGCTGGGCAGTAGTCCCTCTCGCCCTCGCGCAGCGTCGCCTCGCCCACACGCGAGATACGACCAGAAGCTGACACCTATCTCGCGTTGGGGGGGGCGGGGTGCCCACAGGTTTCCCTTGAGTCCTGCCCGCAACCTCCGACAATGGCCTCTGTGCTCCATCCCCCGCGCCTCCCCCGGTCCTCCTGGCCGAATTTGCCGACGACGCTTCCACCGCGACAGACACCTCCACACACGCTCCATGACTCGCGCTGGTGACCGCTCAGCTCTCCGCCAGCATCGCCTGGCGGCTTAGCGCTCATCAGCCAGCGCCTTCTCGCCCTGCCAACAACGCCATCACGGTTACACAAAGCGAAGGGGCAACGAAGAAATATTGCGAGGCAATCGACTATTGCATGTACGGCTCACCCGTATGATGATCCACCACCGTGCCATAGGAACTGAGTGGAGAGTCATCGTGTCTCTTCGTCGAGTCCAGAGGCTCTGTTGAAGGCCTCTTGGGCAATCTTAGGGCCCAGCCCAAGAGACCAGGTATTACATACAGTATGCCCTTGCTTGATGTTCGCATACTCGCGTTTTCTGTCTTAAATGACCCAAGAGGAGCCCGACAGTGAAACTAGAACTGCCGCTCGGAGCCCCCTACTCCAAGGGGGCACACGAGACAGCCAGCAAACCCCCGAGAGTAATCAGGAGAGGCCCCCAAGGAGGCCCAAAAGGGCATCCAAGAGAGGGCTCATGTCAACGACCCAGGCATGGTGGAAGGATGGGCCGAAGGCCCCTAGATAATTTGCAAAACATCGGGTCAAGGCTCCTGCAGTTTGATTCTCATACAAGAAGCGATGCGATCGCCAAAGGCTGACTCCACAGACGACCGCGCTGGCAATCCCCTGCAACAAGATGTATAGCAGCGAGGGGTGCACACAGGGATAGCGCACGACCGCCCAGACCCCTCACTCTGATGCAGGTGCGCCCTATGCTACCAAATATAGATACGTGAGCAACAAAGCAACATGAAGAGGGAGTGGTTGGCATCTCACGTGGCCTCGGGCAATGTTGAAGAGCAACTTCACTGAGGAGAACAACGACTTCTCTGGGACGAACTCCTCCCGGGAAACAATATGAGGCTGATTCCCAGACACGGAGACATGAATCTTGACAGCATATTGCCAATTTGGACGATTCATGCATTCGTGTCGTCCCAGCCACAATCGGATGGCACACAGCTGCTAATGTTGTCTTGGCCACGTCCTGACTCGCAAGGACACGAACATAATTCGCCAGCCTCGACGGGCAGCGGGATGCCCCAGTGCACGTATACCCTCATTTTCCTCTGGACCGCGCAAGGCGAAGAGCAGGGGCATCATGGTCCAAGGAGTGTCAAGCTTATGGCTGGCAGAACGGTCAAGGAACCCGAGGAGGAGAAGTGCCCGCAGATAAATCCTCGGGCTTGGCGGGGCAAGCCCCCGCGCCTCTCTCTCTGGAGTTCCCGAGGGCCCCCGGAGGTCTCTGGAGATCTGCTCAGAGGCCCTTGGAGCACCCCCGGATGACCCCGACGCCAAACAAACTGCACGGACAAGGCCTCGCGGTCAACAGGAGCAGGCAGGCGGGCCCACAATTCAGAGCAGTCGGGGCGTCTTGCGGTAGGCGGGTCGCGCGGCCGATGGGGAGCCAGGCGAGAGGCGCTGCTGCCCATTCCTCCTCAGCATCTCCCTCGAGCTTCGAGGTTTGAGGCTGCTTGACGCGATCGGCGGTTTGTGAACCTCCTGCAGCCTCCAGTGACCTCTGAAGGCCTCCTCACACTCCCGCTCGCTCGAGCGGGTGCGGGAGACGATCTGCGGCTCCTCGAAGATACCAAAGGGTTCCCCAGCGGAACCAGGAGATCAGATAACAATTGCCACTGGGCTTTTTTGCGCGACACACATTTTATGCTCCCCCGGGCTCCGGGGCAGAAACCAACTGGGGTACAGCTTAGATGAGCACGTGTCCCCCGCCGAATGTACAAAGGTCCCGTATATTTTGCAAAGCCCTGCTTACTCTATCTACACCTTCGCCGTATCGCTACTTGCAAAAAGATGCTCACGGTTTTCAAATGCCCACAATGCTCACCTCTTTCTGTCACTGTTCCTTCTGTCACTGTTCCTCACTCCTTCCGGCTCCTTCCTCCTCTCGGAGTTTGCCCAGCGTGGTTCTGGCCCAAAATGCCCCCCAACACTTCGCGCCACTTTGAACCATCTGGAGCCGTCCGGGCCTTGTGAGGGTGCTTCGGAATCCGTCAGGGCCTCCCAGGAAAGGCTGGGCAGAATCTGAGAATCGATCCCCAGCCCCCCCTGGGGTCCATCCTGAAATTTGCTTAGCCGTCCCGGGGCCCGAAAGTCGCACTCGGATGCCGAAGAAAGCGAAACGACAAATCCGTTCGAACCTCGGACCTCGAGCATCGATGCTCGTTCTCCGAGACGTCACCTCTGGCACCGCCAGCTCCCCGTGCCTGCCTGTCGAATTTCCACAGTGCTCACGAGCGACGAACCGATCCAGTCCCATGCACTCACGATCTGGAAACCGAGGCGCGATTCTCACAGATGCGCGACCCCATGGATGCGTTCCGCGCGGGGGACATCCGCGGAGAGCCACCCTATATCCGTGGGCGTCGCGGCCGAGGAGCCCAAGTCGCGAGGCCTTGCATGTCGATACGGCTTCCCACCCGCAAAAAGAGAATGCCCCCCCTCGCGGATCGGCGGGAGGGGAGGCGGAGGGGGGAAGGAGGGGGGGGGGGGGGAAGGGAGAGAGAGAGGAGGAGGGGGGGGGGAGTAGGGGGGGAGGGGGAAGGGGAGAGTGAGGGAGGGAGGGGGCGGGAGGGGGATGGAGAGGGGGGGAGCGAGGGAGCGGCAGGGGGAGAGGGGAAATGGGAGGGGGAGGGGGAGGAGGAGCAGGCCGGCCTCCTCGGATCGGCGCAGCTTGGCGTTCTCCCCGTCTGCCACGGCCACCGCCTCCTCGGCAGGGAGTTCGCGGCACTCAAGGCTTCCAGGGCAGGGCAGTCTGATATAGGGAAACAAACTCTTTATACCGAGTCTTTCTTTTTTTCTGACCCTGCGCTGACACTTGCACAGGAAAGCGGATCCTGGTGTATACGGGATCCAGGTGTATACATGTTTCGATGTTGCCCTGGGAAACGGGACAAAAGTATACACCGCACAACCCCGACGTCGTCCCCGACCCTCAAAAAGTCCAGGGGGTGAAGAACAGCTCGCCACTAGTAATGTAGATGATCCAGTTTCCGATGATACCCAGGCCTCCAGAGGCCTGCAAACATCGGGCCTGCAGCGTTTTGGCACTTCAGCCGCGAGACCGTCTTCGAGCAACGGGGAGAGAAACTGGTCCTAGGCAAGGGGTCGATGGGGTCCAGGGGCACGGGGTCAAGGGGTTCAGGACTGGAGACTCGAAAATATCACGTCGTCGGAGATCTGGGTAGCACGATGACGGTGTCGGGGGTGAGAGGGGGTCCTACAAAAAGGAGCAGCACAAGTTAGAGTACAAATATACTCACGATAAGAAACCTTGTTTTACACACGTGCAAATATAACTCAGAAATGTACGGGCATCTGTCGCCGATCTTCGAACGGCACAGGGGCCCAAGGTGTCCCAGGGTTTCTGCGAGTCCTCGGGGCCATCGGGAAATAAGAAAGTTCCGTGGTGGATGAGCTGGCAGGCTGTTTTCTAGGATAGGTCCCAAGTAGCACTCTCTGAGAGAAGAGGGCAGTGGCCTGTGCTCACGAGAGGTTCCTCGAGAGCCTGCGGAAAGATCGGCAAGGCGTCAGACAATGAAAGGAAGCTGGTTCGTCTTACTCGAGGGCCCCTGCTTTAAAAGCGCTCTTCTGGTACAGCTCCCTTCCCCCGTATAGCCCCTCCCCCTGACAGTAGCGCGCTAAACACCCCAACAATCGCCCTCCAATCGTAATGCCATTCCCCTCACAGTCCAAGTAGCGCGCGCAGGAGGGTGAACCACAAAAATCAGACGGCAATGTAAAGACTGGGGAGTGGACGCATACCCGCCCTCAAATCGCTCCCCCACGACGGACGCGCGCAAGTGGAACGAGCAGGGTATTTTGCTCAATGGGAAAATTATCCAAGACAAAAACCCCCAGACACCCGTCCCGAACAACCCATTCCTATTCATGACGGCAAGACGACCTAGCCCGGACAACCCCTTGGACAACCCCGACCCAGCGGGGATCCGCACAACCTCACTGGACAACCCGCGTTGGACAAGCCTCCACGAGAATTTCTTCCATCAGACACAGTAGAACGGTGATGCACTTGAGCGAACGACGCTAATCGGAGCGAGCGAAGCTTACGGGAAGGGAGCGGGGCGGACCAGAGCAGAGTTAAGCGAGGGTGGGAAGAGTGGATTGAAGCGGCCGTGAATGCGAGGCGGGGATTATCCATACGGTAGAAGGAAACAATTAGTGGACACTCCCCGTCTCTCCCAAATTCAATGTTGGCACGCGCGGGGAAGACTGCGGTCGAAGTGCAACTCATTCAACACACCGCCAACATTGATCATTGGGGGCGCTTTGACAGATGAATGTGGCATGATTGTTCGCTAATTTCTTCCGAGGCCTGTATCCACCGCCTGTGGAACCGACGTCCTGGGACCCCAGCGGGCGATGGACATGGACATACTCGGGCCCCCCAGGGCCCGAACGTATCCGTATCCACCGCCCGCCGACATCCCCAAAGGGAAGCCCCCAGGCGGTGCCCTCGGAGCAGGAGGAGCGGCGCGAGGTGGAACGACGCGGACTGGACTGGAACGGATCGAGCCGTGTCGCACGTCCTGCATCGTGGGCCGCCTCGAAGCAAACCCTTCTGCGTGCCCGGTGCCTCTCCTGCCTTCCCCCTCGCCCTCCCTCTGGTGGACGTTTCTTATTCGGCGTTTCGACATTGGACGGAAGGGGGGGGGAGGGGGGGTCTGGCTCTGGACCTCTGCTTAGCGCTACTGTTTGCAACAGTGCGTCATATGGGGGAGAGACCCCGCCTGCCAGAAGCAGGAGGCGCCAAAAACAGCCAAAATCTACTCCAGGGGGGGAGGGGCTGAATGGGCCCCAGAAACGGCAGGGCCGTTTTTTCACCGTTTCCGAAAAAGTGTCCCTTGAAAATGGAAACGGCAACAAAAACGGCGACGGGAAACGGCAACAAAAACGGCTCCAGGATCGGAACCGGAGCGGGAACCCGTAAAAGAACGGCGACGGAACCGGTAACAAAAACGGCGTCGGAACCGTCAACAAAAACGGCAAAACGGCACCGGTAAAGAAACGGCCCTGTCGTTTCCAGGGCCCGCTGAAGGGGAGGAGGTGTGCGAGGACCCGCGCCGATCGGCAAAACGATGAATCAGAAAACGACTACCTGTCCGCGCGCCGTCGCCGCCCGCGCCCTGCTTCGCGCGCTCCCCCTCTCCTGCTGAGGCCGCCTGCACCGTCCTTCGGGCCCTGGGACCCCTGCCCTCCCGCCTTCCCCTGGCCTGCCTGCCCGCTGCGGCCTGCATGCCCGCCCGTGGGGCGAGGGGCGAGGCACGGCCATCCTCGTCCTGTTCCTCCGCGTCCTCTGCCTCCTCTTCCTCCTACTCTTCCTCATCCTCCTCCTCATGCTCTTGCTCCTCCTCATCCTCCTCCTCGTCCTCCTCCTCCTCATCCCCCTCCGCCTCCTCCTCCTCCTCCGTCTCCTCCTCATCGTCTTCATAAGAGACTTCCGATCCCACTTCCCATCCCTGACCTCATCACCACCCCCATCACGACACAGCCGCGGCGCACGCGCGCTTCCCCGCGCGCGCGTGCAAGTATGTTGGCAAAATTCCGCGTAGCACTGCGCGCGTATGATCAACATACGTACACGCACACGCGTCATCTGCACGTAAGTGCATACGCGTGCGGACGTGATGTATTCACATATTTGTTTCGGTCCGCCACCGTGCCGCTGGGCACGGAGTGGGGGTGCCCTCAGGTCATTTGCCCAATCCCTTAAGCACTTCTGAGGAGTCTTCGAGGGGCCTAGAGCCCAAATTCTCAAAATCTTCTTGGGCTTCTCGGGTGCCCCCTGGGGCTTCTCGCGTCTTGTCGCGCGACTTGCTCGGGCCCAAGAAGGCGCCCAAAAACGGTCCAAGAGGGCCCCGAGTCGCCGAAGGATCTCACCAAGAAGCCCAAGATGGTCCCAAGACGGCCAAAGAGGCCCGCAGGACGCCCCAAGAGAGCCCCCTGAGCCTTCCCAAGAGGGCCCGGAGAGGCCCAAATCATTGATGTTCCATCGGTTTCTCCATGATTTGGGGGTCCTCGACTTTTCGGGCTCCCGACGCTCTGAGACAGCCCGAGAGGCCCCGAGCACTGCCCCAAGACGGACCAAGAGGCCCCCAGGAGGGCCCAACAAAGGGCCCAAGAAAGGGAGCACGAACCGAAAATCCGAATCTTCCCCCCCACGAAGCCCCCAGGAGGCCCCAAGAGGCCCCCACGAGGCCCCCTAAAAAGGCCCCGAAGACGCCTCAAGAAGCCCCAAAACGGCCCCCGAGAGGCCCCAAGACGGCCACCAAGAAACCACCGAGAAGCCTCCCGCGACATCCCAACGAACATCCTAGAACGGTGGCGGGAAGGGCCGAAGGCAATTCAATATATATATATATATATATACGCAGGGTAATCAACCAATCTCCCCGGCACGAACGAAGACCTCACGGCTCTCACGATCACAGGGGGCCCGAACAGCGTGAGGAAGGAAACGCTTACATTTTTCTTCTCACAGAGGGGGCCAATCGATGAACGCCGTCACGGTGACCACAGCGGTAGAGCGACAGGCGCCCTCAGGACGAAGGATGAGGGAGTACGAGTCTATGAGGAGAAGGGATGAACCAGGGGCACCTTGGGGCTCACACTCCGAGGAACGTGGCGATGCCCCTGGAGATGGGTGCCATATAGAAGCCGCGGTTCTGCTCGAATGTTCGCTTGGCGACTTCAGGCTTGAACTCTGACAATGCCATGTAGAGAGGCTTCACATAAATGCCCCGCCCATGGCTTGCCAGAAAAGTCTTTGATGGCTCCAGGGCGCCATCCCAGCGGCATTTGCATCCCAGCACGCACCACCTGAAGGCGATTTCCACATTGCGCGTTTTGGAGAAGCCGTAGGCCGCCTCCATCTTCTCCAAGGCACTGCTCGAGGGGGCCGTGGAGGCGCCCTGGTTTGCCGCTTCTATCAAGTGGTCCAGAAGCAACATGATCTGCTGTGCTTTCATACCCTGCAGGTCGCCGCTTGCGCAGCTGCCTCCTCCAGCGAGGCAAGCATCCGCCAAGTTCCTGGACTTTACCAGGAGGCTGTCGTCGACATGGTTCTTCAGGTCGAAGGAGGGCAGCCCCAGCCCCTTGACCCAATGAGGCCAATCGATATCACTTACACCTGGGACGTCTTTGAAGAAGGATCTGAAATGAGCAACCATGTCTTTTGTCTCAATGCTTTTCCCTTGGAAATCACAGATGTACCGGCGAAGCCAGTCCGTCATCCTGGATTCGCCTAACTCACCCCTCGCACCACCCCCCACGACCTGCTCCAGGTAGAAGAGGAATAACGAACCCTTTTCGTAAGGCACCCGCGAGAAGGCCTGGTCCGGGTCTATATCGTCTATGCACGGCTCAAGGCAAGTCAAGTGGGGCGTTCCCGACTTTTCAAGCATCTCGATGCTCTTGACCAAATCGCCATATCCGACTACAAGGGTCAGATCGCGGAAAGCAGCGCCGAATATTCCACCTAGCACGCGTCGCTCGATGTACCGTGTGAAGCCCTCATTGAGCCAGAAATCCTTGTGGTAGGCGTTTGTTACCAGATTCCCCGCCCAGGAGTGCACAATTTCGTGCGCGAGAGTCGTGGTGAGGCTCCTGTCGCCAGCGATCAGAGAGGCGCTCATGAAGGTGCAATTGGGATTCTCCATGCCCCCATATCCGAAAGATGTTGGCATGACCGCGAGATTGTAGCTCCCCCACACATATGTTGGATGAGCATGAAGAGTGGTCACACACGGCAGCATCCGGAGGTCCGCACGGATTTCTTCGTGGATCGGCGCTGGACACCCTGGCGGCGCCTGTGCCGCCGCCCCTGGCGCGGTCCCGGCGCTGGGGGAGGAAACCCAGCGCAGACCCCAGACATCCACGCGGACCTCCGGAAGTGCACGGTCGGACCTAGGACAGGAGAACATCCCTCAAGAACATGATACCATCCGCCGGCCAGAACGCACAGAACATTCAAGGGTGCCCTCCCCAGGATGCACAAGAACATCCAACAAGTACGAAGAACATAAGGGTACCCTCCCCGAACCGAACTCGATCTTATACCTCGGTCCGACAGTATGTGAGTTGCCTTTCTTCGTTCTTCCATATTCGCTCCCACCGACCATCGCCTGTGCAGTGACGAGGTAGTCCTCCACAATGCCGCTAAACTCCGCCTCTGCTGCGGCCACCACGGCTGGCTCGGCGTAGACCTTGCTGCGTGGGCCTCTGGTGGACCCGGCACATTTACCTGCTTTCCTTCAACTCTTCGCAAATGTGTTGAGATGGAGTTCGCATTGATCCCTCGTCAGATGGCCCGCTCAGGAGACCCCGATTCACCAAACAAACACTTTTCATGGGGAGCATGTTTCACTTCGGCTGCCTTCCCTGGAGCTTCCGCCAGATGAGCCGCCGCCGTTTTACTTTCGCCGGCCATCCTCCGAAGAAGAGAGGTTAATCCTCTGGACTCGATCCCCCAAGCTCTGCCTTGAACGCCACATCTGTACCCAGCGTTCCCTCACTTTGTTCTTTTGCATGCCAAGATAAACCATATGAAGATCTCAAGACATCCCCCACTGCGCATATCTCCCGCCGGACAAATTCTTTCGCGCTGCATGCTTTTAGCCTCAGGCACCAAACCAGCCAGGGGGCCTGGCCGCAAACATGAACATTCGGGTTTCAGACCTGGTTCAGGGGGTCCTTAAACCAGCAACTGCACAAAGAACTCTTGCAGCTGTAGCTGAGAGGCACGCACAATCTAAGTAGGAAGGCACCATAAGGCTTTTGCCAATAGCAAAACCACTCGAACAACCGTTCAGGCGTGATGCGGGAAAATGGAGAAGGCACACGAAGGACACAAACAACGTGTACAACCAGGGGCATCGTCCACTGGACAGGGCAACAACATCCTCGAAGGAAATCAAGGGCCCGCCTATAGTCCTCTCCTCCAAGTCCCCGACGATGACGGCCAACAGGTATGACATAACAGGAATGGCTTGCTTGTAGGTGAATGTGCGGGTCCCTCGAAGCACATCCTCGAGCACCTCACCTTCGCGCTGGCCCGAGGCGACGGCTGTAAGCGGGGACGGAACCGTAATGCGCCAAGTGAACGGCTGCTTCACGCACGGGGTGTCTTGGCACGGCAATAGCGATCGCCCGCAGATGGCCTGGCTCTGTGTGAACACGAGCGGATGCATCTTGCTCTGCGTCTGCTCTGCCGTCAGCCAGCTGATCGCCGTGCTCCTCGCGGTGGTCTCATACCGCACACGGATGCTTGTCCTATCGCCCCCGCGGAGTCGCACAGCCAGAGCGTCCCCGAAAGCAGCCTTGGCACCTTCGGGCTTGCGGATTTCCCAGTCAAGCGCTGCACCGTCCGTCGCATCCGAGACCTCCAAAACGTTGAGGTGGAGAGCGTCCAGAAGCACATGGGAAGGGGGATTCTCCGCGTCGACGACCCGCACCATCAGCGTGCAGGTGCCGAAGAAAATCTCCCTAGAGAAATCGACCTCGAGAGCGAGGTCGATCTGCACCACGACCGCCTCCCTGAAATTCGCCACCGAATGTGGGCAGTGGGCCAGGCCACCCGATGAATCGCCGACGCTCGGACCTGCGGCGGCGGGCCTGCTCCGGTTGGGCCCTGGCGCGCCGCCTGCCGTGACCGCCGCCGGCCGCTTTCGCGCGCCCGTCACTGCCGCCGCTGGCCGCTTCCGCGCGCCGACAGAGGCAGCGGACTTCTTTGCCGCCGCCAGGCGCTTGAGCGCTGGCTGGGCCCCAGGCGCCATGGTTTGAGCAGGGACCGACCGTCCCGGCATTCCGATACGCCTACCATGACGTGTTCTTAGAACCCAGACATGTTCTAAGAGCACAAGCAATGCTCTTAGAACATCGACCCGATGTGTTAAAACAAGACAGTATCAGCAAGAGATGTTCTTAGAACATCGCTTGCAAAACATAATAAGTTCTTCGAACATTCTCTGGTGGGCCTATAGGCAAGCCAGGACGCTTCGCCACCGCTTGAATGGTATGTGCTCTGGTGCAGCGCGCCCCAGCTCTCTGGGGCCAAAACTGGGAGGGCGGAGGGGGAGAGAACCCCAGAGACGGATCAAACACAAGGGCGTGGGTGGCAGAGCGTCAAGAGATAGCAAAGGGTGGCACGAGCCAAGGTCCCAAAGACGGCTTGTGGGCATGCTGGGCTTGGGACCTCTGGATTTATAGTCACGATCCGAATCACACCCCTACCTCTTCCGCCCTCGTGCCATTCCCACCCGCTCTGCCAACAGCCCCGCCCACTCCCGTTCAACCTCCTACTGACCTGCTGCCGCTACGTGCACCGTGTTCCCGGACCAGATCAGAAACAGGAGGAGGAGGAGGAAGACGCGCCACTGAAGGAGAGATATGAGAAGGACAGGTGGTATCCAATCCCACTCGTCCCCTTGGCATAGGTGGCTTAGCGGACCAACTCTTCCATTAAAAGAAAGCCTGTCATCCCTCGCCGGACAATGGGAATCCCTGCCCCCTCCCATGACGAGCATGGCCGTGAGGAGGTGTTGCGTCCAGCATGGCATTATTATGGTCCTAGATCTCCCCGAACCGCGTCCTAGATGGCCGAACGAGGCCCAGGGTGGTCGCCCCCCACCCGTCGGGAGACTGTTTGGTTCGAGTCTAAATGCCCTTCGACTCGAGGTCTTGAAGTGGCGGTTACTCAATGCTCTGGACAATGCGGCGCCTACGTGGCGCAGAATGATTCCAGGCGCGCTCGCTGAACAAAACTCGTCTGGGGGCAAGCGGGATGCATAGCACAAATAAGGAACGGGGCAATGGCTGGCCCATGCCGCACCAGAGTACCCGCGTGGACGCATATGACACTAAAGGGCGGACGACCAGCAAATTGGTGAGGAGGGTGAGAAAGAGGATGGGAGGAGGGGAGAAGGAGGAGAAACACATGGAAGAGGAATTGGATTAACAGGAGAAAGACATGGAAGGATCAACACGAGGATGCACAGGAATATGGAAGTAGAAACGCGCAGCCTGTTCTGATACAGTGTGGTCTCAACGTCTGCACAATCTGACGTTTGAGTAGGTGTCTTGTTGGGCAACAGTGAGGACCCTGAAAGATGAGGAGGAGGGGGAGGAGGACACATATGAAAACGAAACGAAACAGCAGGGGGATATTGCGCAGGACGAGCCCAAGCAGGAGGAATCGAGAAGATTGCCGGTGAGGGCACTGCTTGCAGCCATCCGCCACCGTCCCCCTGGCACGGTGAGGCGTGGCGTAATCACGAGTGCTGCCTGCCAGGGCTCCTCCCCTGGGCCACGCAGATACACACACGTGCGCCCCCTACTCCCCCCCCCCCTCCCTCCGGACATCCCCTGGGTGCCCGACGCGCCCCTGGGGCTCCCCAGTGTTCTCCAAGGAACTCCAAAATTGTTCCAGAAAGGCAACCTGGGCCGCCAACATGGCCCAACATTGTGGGGATACGTGCACAACAGCTTCCAAGAAAGCCCCAAAGTGCGCCAAAAGGACTCCGCCAGGCTTCCGATAGACCCCCCGAAATGGAAGAAGGCCGAGAGGTCCTTCAGGATGACAGGCGCCACGAACAAAATAGCAGAAACCCCGTTGGACGGGAGAAGCAATTATTTTCATGGGCCCTTCGACCCAAGACGGTCACAAAAGGCCTAGGATGAGGCAAGGAAATCCGAGAGAAGCCTCATGAAGGCCCCCAAAGACAAGACCAACTTGGCGACCAAGAAAAACCGCGCATTGTCCAAAGACGGCCCAACGGAACTTCAATTCTCCCTTTTGAACACAAATAGATAGACTCTACAACCCCCGACGTCCCGCCTAAAAATGAACTCGTACAATCCCAGCCGAGCCGGTATCCGCCTCCCCCTCCGCCATCCATTGCAACAACAAATTATGCGCGCGCCCGTTTAACAAATCATGATTGTTCAAAAATCCCTTGCAACAGATCACACGAAGTGCGCACGCGCGCGTCGTCGCGCGCGCATGCCGGAATGTTTCAAAAACTGTCGATTTCGTCCAGGTTCCAAAATCGAGTTTCAATGATCCTTGAACGGAGCATTTTTTATATAAAAAAGGTTTCACAGCACGGGCTTTCAGCAAAAAACTTGTGCGCGCTTTGGTGAATTCTTTAAAAAACAATCGGTTTTTGCCAAGATGTTACCAAACGGGCTTCGCGCCCGCGCATGTCGAAATCGTTCGAACGCCCTTCCGCGCGTGCCGTCGCCTGAATCGTGTACAAAAAACAGGAGGAAGTGCAAGTGCGCGCGTCGCCACGCGCGCATGCCTAAATCAAACAAAAACCGTTGGTTCCGTAACGATCTCAGAACCGAGTGCCCAAAACACATACAACAAAAAAGCGCAGGGTTTCGCAACAACAGTTTCCCCCAACAAAAAAAACAAAGTGCGATCGCGCTCTTGCGAATTCTTTGAGAAACAAATGTTTCAGCATTATCATGGGATTTTGCTAAACGAACCGCTCGCGCCGCATGCCGACATCATTCGCGCGCCCTCGGGGCACGATCCGTGTCAAATATTTTCATGCGGGCCGCTCTCGCGCGTCGGCCGCGCGCGCATGTCGAACTCTTACAAAAACTTTCATCACCGACGCGAAGACGCCGTCATCGTCGTCGGCGTGATCAAAATCGGCGCCCGCGCTGGCCGCGCGCTCGTCGTTGCCAATATCGTCACCAGCATTGTTGCTACCATCATCGTGTCTAACGTTGTCGAGTCGCCATGATACCGCGCCCGCCCAAGTCGCCGACTCGCAATGAAGCGCCCGCTGGGATGCGCCCAGCGGTCAGCGCCAACGCGGCCGCGTCGGTCGCGCCAAACTAGCTGGCCGCTGCGCGCGCGTGCTTGGGTAGGCGCGGACTCAGAGATGCACCAGCCACCGCCAATAATGCAATACAATCCCCACCGCATGGATTTTGTAAACCAAATTGCGGGTGGGTGGGTGGGTGGGATGTTTGCGAGAGCATGGGATGTGTCAACCGCCTTGTTAAAATCAGTTCTCCCTTCTACACTCTACCCCCCCGGAGTTATCGCCCCCCTTTCGGGTATGTAAATCACATATGATTATGACCACATGTCCATCCTAAATATGACATCACAATGTCCCAGGCCAACCGGTATCACCCCCCTGAGGTTCCCCCATAAAGATCACTATGCGGTGACATTTTTCGTTCTAACATAACACTTGTTCACGAACCCTTTGCAACAAACAAGACGAAGTGCACACGCGCGCGTCGTCGCGCGCGCATGCCGAAATCCTTCAAAAACCTTCGGTGCCGGAAGGATTTCGCAATCGAGCTTCCCAAAAACATACAAAAACACAGGGTTTCGTAACACTGATTTGCTAAAACAGCTTCTGCGCGAGCTCTTGCGAAATCTTAAGAAAACCATTGGTTTTCAAGATTTTCACAAGATGCTACCAAACGGGCGTCGCGCGCGCATGTCGAAATCTGTCGAACGCCCTGGCGCGTGTGCCGTCGCGAGAATCCTCTGCAACAAATGGGACGAAGTGCAGACGCGCGCGTTTTCGCGCGCGTACGCCGAAATCCTTCAAAACCCATTGGTTTCGGAAGGATTTCAAAATCGCGCGTCCAAAAAACCTACAAAAACATAAGGTTTCGCAACACGGATTTTCAACAAAAGCGTGCGCTCGCGCTCTTGCGGCGTCGTCGTCGTCGTCCTCTCTCCTCCCGCGTCGTCGTCGTCGTCGCCTACGTCGTCCTGTGTCTTTCCTCGTGTTCGTCGTCATCGTCGTCTTTGGCGTCGTGGTCGTTTCCGTCGTCGTTGTCGCCGTGGTCGTCCTTCCTCCTCCTCCCTCGTCGTCGTCGTCGTCCGTCGTCGGCGTCTCGTCGTCGTCCCTCCTATTTCGTCGCCGTCGTCGTCGTCGTTGTCGTCGTCGTCTCGTCGTCGTCTTCCCTCCTCCCTCGTCGTTGTCGTCGTCGGCGTCGCCGTCCTTCCTCCTTCGTCGTTCGCGTCGTCGCCCTCCTCCCTCCTCCCTCGTTGTCGTCGTTGTCGTCGTTGTCGTCGTTGTCGCCGTCGTCGTCCTCCCTCCTCCCTCGTCGTCGTCTTCGTTGGCGACGTCGTCGTCGTTTTCGTCGCCGTCGTCGGCGTCGGCGTCGTCGTCTTCGTCGTCGTCGACGTCGTCGTCGTCGTCGTCGCCGTCGTCGTCGTCGTCGTCGTCGTCGTCGTCGGCCGTCTTGCTTCTCCGGCCTTCTTGGGGCGTTCTTGAGACGCCCCCGAGGGCTCCAAGACGACCCCGGAGCGATATCAGTGCTCGGTTCCGCATGGGTTTTGCAAACCAAGTTGCGGGTGGGTGGGTGGGATGATTGCGCGAGCAGTGGAGTTGACAACTTCAAGTTCGGCAAGTGATTGATGCAGCCCATAGAAGGCTCCAAGGCGGTCCAAGAGGAGCTCAGGATAGACTAAGAGGCCCCGAAGACGTCCAGAGGAACCCAGGATAGACCAAGGCCCCGAAGACATCCCCAGGAGACTCCCCAGACGGCCGAGGGGGTCCCTGACGGCCCAAGACGGCACCAAGACTGCCCCAGAAGACCAAAAAGAGTATCACGAGGGCCACAAGATGGCCCCACGATAGCCCCTCCAAAAAAGAACACGAGATCTGCCACGTCTTACGGCCTGCGGTGCTCAAAAGACGCCACCCAGAGCGCTGCTCTGGCACGGTTGTGGAGCTTGCTGCAGGAAGCCAGATACTGTGGCAAACCGTCAGGGACAGAAAGGTGGAACACGTCGCGGGCGCACGAGCACTGGATTCTGAAGGCAGAGGAGTCAGCGGAGTCTCCTGCAGTGCATGTAGTTCTCTGCGGCACAACAACCGGACCTTCTGCGCAGCGTGACAAGGCGCAGGGGCCGTGAGAGGAGAGCGACGTGTGACAACCAGTGGACAACAACACAATGCGACCTAGTCCTCGCAGCAAGAAGTAAGGCAGAGGCTGGACGAAAAGAGCACACTCCAGACTTGACAAAGCACGGAACGACCTCGTCCACCTCACCCAGCACCTCTGCCAGCGCCAGCTTGGCGTCCTCCGCACGGCTGTGGGCACACCGCGGCACACCATCCTCCGCCGAGTGCCTAGGGCACGCTGGTGCGAGGGCTCCCGTTGCCCCCGCTTCGGCTCCAGCCGCTACACCGGCACAAGACACAAACAGCCCACACGCACCAACCACGGCCAGGCCACTCGTGGCCCCAGGACAGGCTGACGGGAAGTCCTGGTCCACCCAGGAGAGTGTCTCGCCGGTCCTGAACGCAGGAGTGGCCTGGCCAGGATCGGTGCAGGTGGATGGCTGGCGCCCCGGCCCCCCACCCCTCCCCTATCTCAGGGCGGAAGAGCTGGGGGCCTGTCTTCGTGACCACAGAGGCGCCTCAACGAGCCATCCTCTCCGATGTACCATGCAGACGGCCAGTTCATAGAGGCTTTCTTGTCTTTCTTGTCTTTGTATATTGTCTTTCTTGTCTTTCTTGTCTTTCTTGTCTTTGCATTCTTGTCTACAGCGCTTTCCTACTTCAATAGAACAGGCCGATTTGTAACACATCGGACGCCCTCAAGGGATGGCCCAGCATCCCTGGAGGAGCACTGGCAGTAAGTGGAGGATTGCGGGTGGGCCCAAGCGGCGCAGCTGGCTCGCCGATAGCGACTCTTCACACCCGGTGACAATGCGCTCAGCATCCTGGATGCGTAGGTACGATGCGGGTTGGCGCCAGATTAGCTACCTGTCTACTGCGGGCCCTCAGCCGCGGTACTTGAGAGTGTGGTGCACAGCGCGTGACACACCGAAACATACGGCGGAGCAGGCGAGAGCAGGGTCAGAAGTAGGCCAGCGGGGGAAAAGACTGGCGCGAGAGGAGCCACGGGGCGGGGCGCGAGAGAGGATATCGGCAAGGGAGACGCGGCGGCAGCGGCGCGGCGTCGGGACAGGCAAGGTAATGAACACGGTGCTCGCTTCCAGCGCACCACTTACAGAAGTCTGATGGGCTCCATCGAAACGCCTGGATGTGCACCAAGGGTTGCAGGCAACAAGTAACATGCGATAACAGAAAAACAGAATGGGGGTAACGCCACAGACATAGCACGAAAGTGTACCGTAGTTGGAAGCCGAAAGCTTGACGAAGTGCCGGGCTCGTCACCGAATCCACGCCAGACTGAGTCAACCATCACGTCCCGACCGAAGAGACGTGTCCTGTGAGCCTCTGGAGCTGGGGGGGCGGAAGAAGACTCTGAGGGTATGCAACTCAGAAACGTTCATTGGAGGCGAAAGGGAATACGGAAAATTTGTCGTGGCCTCGCCTGTGCCAAGAAACCGCTCAACTCCCATGCGGCATCACGAATGCCTGATTGCTTCGTTAACAGCTCTGGTATGTTTCATCCATCCGGTGGCATGCAGCAGAATTCGCCTCACCACGTTACATGGTTGCTCGGGCTATACGTTCAGTAGGTCGTGCTTGCAAGTGGAAACCAAAACTCGATATGCGTTCTGAGAGGCCCGGAGAGACGAGTGAGATGGGGACCAGGACGAGGGGTGATGAGGGGAGTGGGGGGGGATGCCCCCTCTTACGCGGAATGCCGACGACCGAAGGACGGATTGAAGACAGAAAGAACACGATCAACCACAAACGTTCGGGGGTCGGCGCGAAATTCTTAGGTCGGCGCTGGACCCCCCCCATCCTGCACCCACTGTGGTATGCAAGTGCGCCCGCGCCGCAGCATTTCCGCTCCTTGAGGGCGTCCGTCTCGGGACCGTCGCGAGCCCACTCGCGGTCGCCACCACAACCCTGGGCGCGCCAGTCATTTCTTCTACCGCCGCCAAGGCAGGAAGCCCCAAGCAGCCTCCGGGTGACTGCGATGGGCCCAAGAGCGCGACTCTGGTGTCAAGTGTTTCCCAGACCAGCGGTGAGTGCCGCGCGACACTGGGCGGGTATCTGGGTGGGCCGCACTGCCGCTGCTACGATGAGCCAAGGGGCAACAGAGGAACGCCGAATGGAGCGCCTGACCCTCCAAAGGCAGTTCGGACGCCATCAGTGAAGGGACGTCGGAGGGGGTCGGGACCTCAACAATGGCTGCGCCTCGAGTCGAACTCTGCAAATCGTCATCCCTAAAACGCCGAACGGCTATGCCTGGCATGACCAGGGATGAACCGCAATTCGCTCGAGAGACAATATGTGAACCCCGATGTCAATAGGCGGTGAAACTCGGCATAAAGCCATACACAATCTTGAGGAGGGATTAGGAGAGAGAGAGAGAGAGAGAGAGAGAGAGTCGCATATCCAACCGCTCCTGCCATTGACGGGTACCTAGAAGCAGGGCATGGGACAAGTGCAGTTGTGGACGTGACGCATGATCCATGTACGCAGAGAGGGCGTGTCTGCGGCAGCCTGGGAACGTCTTGCAGGCATCTACATTCATCAGACCTCTGCTGTTTGGATCGCGCCCTTACGCAGCACTGACTTTCGCGGACGTCTCGCAACAAGACGGTCAGGAGATCCTAGTTAGCGAGCCGAGCCATGTCGGCGGCCATTGCGACACGCTATGCCTTGAAAGCTGGTAGAGAATCGCTCTGGTTCGGGGGACGGGAGGCTGGGGAAAGCTTGGAACGTTCATGCCTGGGGGCTGGGACATGCTTAGCGTCTCGCGCCGAAGCGTGGCAGCGCGACACGCTACACAAACGTTCCTGACCGCAAGGACCGCAGCGCCAGTCCCGAGACGGCCCACATGGTCCAGCGGATTCTACGACGGGCCGGGCCAGAACAGATCCTGAGACGGGCCGAGAAGGGCGCTCCAAGATAACGTTGGTGAGCACCTACCGCAGAGGTAGAAAACCAAATTGAGCACGCTGCCTCGTCCAT